GTAGAAAAAAAAGAAAAAGAATGAGAAGAAAAAAAGAAAGACTAAAAAGAAGAAAAGAAATTGAGAAGAAAAAGAACAAGATGAAGAAGAAGAAAAATAAAAAAGAAAGTAAAAAAAGAAACAAAGAAAAAGAAGAGAAGTAGTAGAAGAAGAAGAAAGAACAGAAAGAAGAAGAAAAAAGAAAAACGAAGAAAAATTAAAGAATAAGAACATGAAAATGGAGAAAAAAGAAAAAAAAAACAAAAAAGAAAGCAGAAGAAGAAGATGACGAAGATGATGATGATGATGATGACTTCTGAGAGGTCATTTCTCTGTCTAACCAACATCAAATCTGATCAGTCCAGACACTGCAGGTCACTGCAACCCAAATAAGTAAAAAGAAACTACCCTCTAAAACAACTCGGGCTCCAACTAATGATTATTACTATAATCAAAGAACTCATTAACTGTCACTTAACGCACTAATTATCAATTACTGCATGTATCATATGAACATTACAGGACATTAAACAGTGCTTCTGTTTTAATGTAAATGATACACAGTGACATTCACAAATATTGGTACCCCTGGTCAATCTGAGCACTAGGTGTGAGTGACTGTATGTCTGCCCTGTGATGGATTGGCGACCTGTCTAGGGAGTTTCCCAATTTCCACCCAACAAGTGCTGGAATGGGCTCCAGCACGCCCCAGGAGGATAAGTGGCAGAGACGATGAGTGAGAGAGTGAGTGAATTTCTAGGGTGCCAATAATTGTGGCACACACAGATTTCGGTAAATATATTTTTTCATGACAATTGATTGACAATTGAGATGATTGTATTCAACCTTAAATATAAACCTAATATTTTGAGTAAAAGGTCTAAAAGAACGAGTAATTACGAATATTTTTTCTAGCTCATTTTGCTTGTGATTATCAGCGGTGCTAATATTTGCGGACGGCGCTGTAATTGACCATTGCAAAATTCTGACAAGTCCTGCCTCAAACTTTCAGCTCAGGCTGATATCTGTATAAGGCACTGTAGCATCCACAGCACATTATGGCATCCACAGCACACTGTAGCGCTTAGATCTACTCGATTCACATGTGTACATCATTTCCATGAATATAATACATTTCATAAACACAATTACTGTAAAACAAAAGACAAAATTGAGTTCACATTTTCTATTAATTCATGTGGAAATGATATACATATTTGAATCAAGCAAACCCATTACTCTTTGAGTGCACATGCATGACTTACAGATTTCACAAATCCTTATGGGGAATATTAACAAAGTGATCAAATAAAGTCACAAAAAAATTCTACTGAGTACGATGGAGGAACTGAAAGGTCAAACCAAAACTCTTGCTTTTCTACTTCAGACAAAACTTTCATATGTTCGTTTGTCATGTCCTGTACACAATGAGCATAATGCTCAACAAACTGTTGTTTATACTCTATTAGATTCAGTCTCCTCAAAGCTCGTGAAGCACTCGCTGCCTTTCAAAGAATAACACCTTGTACAAATGACCCAGCATTACACAGTCAATCAACAGCCACACTTATTCAGCTCTGTGTGACAAAAGCTTCAAAAGACGCATTTAAAGGTGAAGTCAGAGAATGAACTGATAATTGGGCGTCTGGGGACAGAAGCAGGAACAACAGAGCGAGAGGAGGGGGCAGCACAGCGGTGCTGTTGCCTAGCAGGATTTCAGATATGGGAGTTGTAGTCTGGGAATGTATGTGTGTATCTCAACAGGTGTGTGTGTGTGTGTGTGTGTGTGTGACTGTTTATGCTTGTGTGTGTGTGCTTGTCTTGCTATCCTTGTGAGGACCACAATGACAGGATAACATGACAATTTGCTGGTCCGCATTTGAACACATGCTGATTTCACCATAAATTACATTGTTTTTCGGAGAAACTGAAGGAGCAGAAAAACTGCTTTTTGGATACTGACAGGGTTAGGAGTAGGTATAGGTGTAGTATTACATGGCTACAGTAATTCAAAGCTCTGCTTCTACTCATAGTAGCCTCAAGGTGAGGACTATGACACAAGGCGGCTACCAAATGCATGGAAGAAAACAGGAAAAAGGTATTTGCAGACATCTGCATGCTCTTTCTTTACTCGGTCTGCTTTTTGTCTGTTTTCCAGTGTAGTTAGCTGATCATATACTGTTCATACATTAGCAGTTAGTGAAGTTAGCTGTTAAGGCACTGCTGCAGCTCTACCAGTGACTCCAATAGCACAGTGTGTATCAGCTCTTTGACAAGAAAAAACTGGCTTATTTAAAAAGGTTATGGTAGCCTAGAAATGGTCTATAATTTGACTTACGTCTGCTCCCAGTTACACCCAGTCATGGTGAAAATTCAGCTTATGGCCAGCTGGTGTAATGGTCTTAATGGCCACGTTCACATTACTAGGTTGAAGTGGCACAAATCAGATTTTTTGCCCTAATGTGACTCAGATCTGATGTTTTCAGGGCTGTGTGGACACGCAAATCTGATCTTTTCAAATCCGACCTGAGCCACTTTTATATGTGGTCCTAGATCGGATACGTATCCGATTCGTGGCCATGCGACCTTATTGTGAACGCTTAGATCGGAATTTAGATCAGAAGTTAAACCCTGTAAACGGTGGAAAAGCAACACATCTCACCTTTTTCGCCTTCGTCTCGCTGTAATAATGAAGCTGAGAGCTGATCAGGGTTAATTATCTTCTCAGCGAAGGCTCGTTCTGACCGTTAGTTTCTTTGCTGATGATGCATGTGATTCATTCACGTGACGTTACTGAGTAGGATGTGCAAATACGGGTCATTTCAGGACGCTGGCTCATTCGCATTAATGACAGATTTGAATCAATTACCTAAATGAGTGTGAACCATCCTGTCAGAGAGATCGGATTTGAGCAAAAAATTGGATTTGAGCAATGAAGCTTGTAATGTAAACATAGCTAAAGTTGTGCTGAGAAAGTAATGACCAACTTAGCTTATGACCAGACGTAAGCCCTGTAAGGCCCTATAGTAGCAATGGCAAAGTAACATCAGTGCTAATACTCCACATTAACATTGTTAAACCATTACTTGGCAACTTTCCAAACCTTTCTTATTTAAACTGTAATAAAATATTTAACGCCAGAACTATAATAAGAAGCCGAAGGATTAGCTGCTGTTACTGGATTGTGGATTGCTGTAGGCCGTCACAAAGTTTACCCTGTACCTCTCTTTGTGTGACTGATCTGTACTTTACACAACTTTAGAAACTTTGACTCCAGTCTCTCCTCATCCTCTTCAACTCCTGTTTTTTCTTCACAATTACACAGCGCTAAGTACACTAAAAGTCCTGTTCTCCTCAAACAATATCTCCAAAGAACGGAAGGAGGGCGGGGGAAAGAGGGAGCCAAAAAAAGAGGGAGCAGAAAAGAGAGGTAGTGGAAGCTGTGGATGGGTGTCTAGCGGACAGACGCGCTCTTTGAAGTGTTAAACAGGCTTGAATAATTTAGCATTGGGCTAAGTATAGCTCTTAAACATCCATTTCCATCCTTGAAGCGGCCTCCGACAGGAAGACGGCACCTCACTCCTTCAACGTCTCGTTCGTTTTCTCTCTCGTCGTCTTCGTTCGCTCCAGATCTTCTCTGCATGTGGCGCAGGCTTTCGGCTCTCTCTCAGTTCTTTCTCTGCTTCTGAGTGCCTTGTCTTCTCCACTCTCTGTCAGCTCTTCTCCCTCTCTGCTTCTGTCTGTCCTGCACTTCCTTTGACTCAATTCTTTTTTATCCTCTTGCCAACCTCATCTTAAACCACCACTCACCCTCTACCTCTAGCTTTTTCTGTTTCGTTTGTCACCGCCCCTGTCATCCCCCTCATGTCTGTAACTGTATGTGTGGGTGCACTTTCGGGTCTGGGGTGGTCTATAATGGTTAGGGCCCATATTCTACATATTTCATGTATTTTACTTTCTTCCCAGAGGTGTACTTGCGGATTAATGTTCCAATTTCAACATGCCCATTTTTCAACTTCTCTTTATCCTCTAGAATTGAACAGGCTGTTTTTGTTAAGGTGCCTTTATAGACTGATACATTTAAATAACCTCTGCTCTAAGTGCCAGCCCTGTATTGGGCCTGGCTCAAAAAGGTGTCTGGTCTGAAACACTTCTTGTAACTTCAGTGCGAATGGGCAGAGCTAAACTGCTGTAGGCTGAATAGGTGGTGATATGCAAATATGCTGAACAGTGAAGTTTCCATATACACTGACCGGCCACTTTAAAAAGTACATCTCCTTGCATCTACACTGTAAATCGTCATTTAAAAACAGCACTTTGTGTTTACTTGTATTACTTTTACCTAATATTAAAAGTAATTTGATCATCTGGAATATTCAATTATGACAAATATGCAAAAATAGAAGAAATTGGGATGGGGCAAATACATTTTCACAGCACTGTAGGTACACTTTGTAGTTCTGCAATTACAGACTGTTGTCCATCTGTTTCTCTGCATACTTTGTTAGCCCACTTTCTTGTTCTTCAACAGTCAGGACCCCCACAGGACCACCACAGAGCAGGTATTATTTGGGTGGTGGATCATTCTCAGCACTGCAGTGACACTGATGTGGTGCTGTGTTAGTGTGTGTTGCGCTGGTAGGATTGGATCAGACACAGCAGTGCTGATGGTGTTTTTAAACACTTCGGTGTCAGTGCTGGACTGAGAATAGTCCAACCGAAAAAAGTCCAGCCAACAGCATCCTGAGGCCACTAATGAAGGACTAAGGATGACCAACTCAAACCGTGCAGCAACAAATGAGCTACTGTCTCTGATATTACATCTACAAAGTGGAACAAGAAAGCAGGTGTGTATAACAGAGTGGACAGTCAGTGGACACCGTGTTTAAAAACTTACCACTCACATCACAACTTTGCACCAAAGTTGAAATGTATAGCTCGGCCTTGAGGTTGAGACAATTGGAACAGCTACATCCATAATAACAGTCTGTATAATTTTCCATGCTGGACATGGGCCGTACCTGTGGCTGTCCTCTTGAATGAAAAGGCCGAGGAGCTGCATGGGGATGCTGAAGGACAGTGTACACTCCGCCATTTGCTCCCTCACCAACATCCACTTGCTGTCCACCGTCTGAAACCTGTACACCTTACACACCGGATTCTTAAACACTGCAAGAGAAAGAGAGAGAGAATTATTTTAACTTATATTATTTTTCATATATTTCAAATGATTTTTAAGTTGTGGTCCAGTAACTCTGGTCAGAACAAAATGATCAGCATACAGCGTGACGTAAGCACAGAAAAGGTTTTACAGCATCAAAGTTCAAATGCAGGCATTGCGGTTAAATTTGGTATTTACGTATTTAGACCCTTGAGCAGTTCCTTAAATCAATACTTCATCTGACAGAATGTCATTAGACCTAACAGACGAGTTAATCTTTAAAGTTGTCCTTCCTGAGATCTGCCGGATTCAATCAAACCATTTGGCAAACAGCATAAATCCTATTTGAACTACCACCAACAAGCCCTATGTGCCTGTTATTTGCTAGAAAAATGGTATACATCCCTCAAGAGAGGAGGGCTCACTGCTGTGCCTATGTGAACCCAGGCATTATTATACAGCCTGCAATTTAAGGTTAGTCAGTTTCTGACCACAGGATTGTTGCTGACCACATATTATTTAGACGGTATATCATTCTCAGCACAGCAGTGACACTGACATGACAGTGTGTTTGGCAGTATTAAACTGTGACTATTAGAGCTAGGCCTTCAATTCGGGCTATAAATGTTAAACATCTATCCTTATTATAATGCTAATTTCTGTTAGCAGCCCAATGGGATTCTAATTTGTTAGCGCTAAGCTAATGGTAATTCACATGAACGTTTTCTGGCCATTCTAACTTCAACAAAAGACTTACTTGAAGCTTGTGACAGACATAATAGCACATAATTCACCTTGTAGCAGTTTTACAGTGAGTCTTTCAGCAGTGAGCTCTGGTATAGAGCTGCCACCACTGTTTTCTATTTCTAGCAACCCACTGATTAAACTGCTGTACTCAGCCAGTGACATATCTGGGACTTCCAGGAGGCTTAGAGTGAAGTTTTCTTATCACAAAATTGGCCCCGCCTACTGGAAATAAAAATGTGATTTTTTGTTCTGTCTGTCATTTCGTAATTATGCTGATAGCTCAACTAACACATTAAGATTCCTGTCAGTTCTTGATGTCCTAACCAATAGGGGATCTACATCCACCTAGATATTAAGGAGAAAAACAATTGCTGATTGGCAAATTTTTCTCAAGGCTTTCCAAGAGTTTGACTCCTTTGGTTTCCACTCAAAACTTAACAATGAAACCAGAGTAGTACCGTAATACTTGCTGAATTTACATACAAGCACGATTCTACTGAATAAAAAATGAACTAAACAGAACTCACAAGAGTATAATTGTTAGTGGCCGAAAATCATTAGGCCCTGAGGGTTCCCCTCTGGTGTGTAGTGCTGGTACGAGTAAGATCAAGAATTAATTTGTTATTTGTAAAAATAAAAACTATGAATTTTTATTTGTGAAAGTTACCAGTAATAACTTAAATTTCACATGTAAAAACTGTATTTTTACTTGTAGAAAATATAATTTTACTAGTACTAATTGAACTATTACATGTAAAAAAAATTTTACTAGTAAGAATTAAATTCTTGATATCAAGACTTGAATATCTACATGTGAAAATAGTAAATTCACTAGTAAAAATTTAATTCTTACGAGTAAAAATGTTTCCCCCATTAAAATGAACTGGGGAACCTAATATCAAGAATTAAACTTCTACATGTGAAAATTCAGTTGTTACCAGTAAGAATTAAATTTTCACATGTAAATTGAATTCCTGATATCAAGAAAAAAAGGATTTAAAGCCAAAACGGCTTGCCATACATGAGACACAGCAGTTACTGGAATTTTTACAAGTGCCACTGCTGGGTTAAGTGGTCCACTACAAAAAATACCCAATCAAAAGCAATTCTGTGGTCAGAAATTGACGACTGATGAAAGGCTAGAAGATGGATAAAACAAACTGTGCGTCAACAGATTGCAGACCAGCAAGGTGGAGCTGGTAAGGGTTACGGTCACTTCTCTTCTGTTAGATACCATGTGCACCCACATACTGCCACATTTACAAACATACAGAATGTGAAGTTTCCCCCGACATTGAGCTTTAAGTTATGATATGGACAACACTCTACAAAAACTTTTTTAAAGACTTTACTGATCTCCCCCCTTTCCTTCTTATACTTTCATGCCATTCTAAGCAATGGAAAATGGAAGCAGAAATCATTCTCAAAGACCACTGGCGCATATACAGAAACAGAGAAAATGCTTGGGTCACACTTTGAGATGTGTGTTATTGGTGTTGGTGCACATGTGGCAGCTTGCTTCTGCATTTGGAGGCTGCCTGGCTTCATTATATTACTGAGATGCTGGCGTGTAGAGCAGAAGTCTAGAGAAAAGGAGCAGGAGACCATGCTGGAGAGAAAGCAGCGCTTTACTGCCGCTGCTGCACCACTGATAAGAGCATTAAACGCTGTTTGCAGTTTCTCCCTCAATAGCCGCTGTTTGGCCACTTTCCTCCCTCTCTGCTCAAAGGCAAGGAAGCGGGATTGGGTCTGAATGTGCCTTAATGGGTCTGAAGTTACAGAGCAGGCTGACTTTGAGCATTGGGATGGGGCGTAAACAAGCAGTCAACATGAGAAAACGTTGGCTAATGTGGAAACATATCTTCCTGCGGCATGAAAGCTCCATATGTTTGCAGATAGTTACGGCTCTCGGGTGAAAGTTGTGATATATGGCTTTTATGTAAGGTCCAAATATGAGTTCTGTAAACTATGCGTGTGTGTTTGAAGCATAGCTGTAGAGGAGGGTTTGTGCTTGGGTTATATCTTTACTGGCCACTTTCTCAAAACTTCTACACTGTAGCTTCGCCTTGCTGCTGTACACTTAGACACTGAAGCCCATCTGCTGATTCAGTTTGTGTTAGCCATCCTCTAGTCCATCAGTGGTCAGTTTCTGAGGTGGCGGTCTACTCTCAGCCTAGCAAGTGACACTGACATGAGTCAAACCTCCAGCAACACTGCTGTGTCTGATACTCTCCTATCAGTAACATACAGACTACCATGTCAGAGTCTCTGCTGTGCTGGAAATGATCCACCACCCTAACAATGTGGTCAATAGCAGCCTTGTGGTCAGACCTGTTTAACAATGAATAGGGTAAAGGGAGGCTGATAGACTGAGCAGCAGCAGATGGCCTATAGTCTATAACAGTACATCTACATAGTGGACGTTTATAGGTAGGAGTGTGTAATAAAGCGTCCAGCAAGTAGAATACATGGTTAATGCTTCTAATACAGTGGCCAGTGAGCAGTAGTACAAGGCAATCTAAGAAAGTGGTCAACAAGCAGATGTATAAGATAAGTGTTTCTAATATAGTGGCCAGTGAGTGGTAGTACAAGGCAATCTAATAAAGTGGTCAGTGAGTGGACGTATAAGGTAAGTGTTTCTAATATAGTGGCCAGTGAGTGGTAGTACAAGGCAATCTAATAAAGTGGTCAGTGAGTGGCAGTACAAGGCAATCTAATAAAGTGGTCAGTGAGTGGATGTATAAGGTAAGTGTTTCTAATATAGTGGCCAGTGAGTGGTAGTACAAGGCAATCTAATAAAGTGGCCAGTGAGTGGTAGTACAAGGCAATCTAATAAAGTGGTCAGTGAGTGGATGTACAAGGTAAGTGTTTCTAATAAAGTGGCCAGTGAGTGGTAGTACAAGGCAATCTAATAAAGTGGTCAGTGAGCGGATGTACAAGGTAAGTGTTTCTAATAAAGTGGCCAGCGAATGGAACTACAAGGCAGGTGTTTCTAATAAAGTGGTCAGCAAGTAGATGTACAAGGCAGGTGTTTCTAATAAAGTGGTCAGTGAGTAGAACTACAAGGTAGGTGTTTCTAATAAAGTGGGCAGTGAGTAAAACTGCAAGGCAGGTGTTTCTCATAAAGTGTCCAGTAAGTGGAACTACAAGGTAGGTGTTTCTAATAAAGTGGCCAGCGAATGAAACTACAAGGCAGGTGTTTCTAATAAAGTGGTCAGCAAGTAGATGTACAAGGTAGGTGTTTCTGATAAAGTGGGCAGTGAGTAAAACTACAAGGCAGGTGTTTCTAATAAAGTGGTCAGTGAGTAGAACTACAAGGTAGGTGTTTCTAATAAAGTGGTCAGTGAGTAGAACTACAAGGTAGGTGTTTCTAATAAAGTGGGCAGTGAGTAAAACTGCAAGGCAGGTGTTTCTCATAAAGTGTCCAGTAAGTGGAACTACAAGGCAGGTGTTTCTAATAAAGTGGCCAGCGAATGAAACTTCAAGGCAGGTGTTTCTAATAAAGTGGCCAGCAAGTAGATGTACAAGGTAGGTGTTTCTAATAAAGTGGGCAGTGAGTAAAACAACAAGGCAGGTGTTTCTAATAAAGTGGGCAGTGAGTAGAACTGCAAGGCAAGTGTTTCTAATTAAATGAGCAGTGAGTGGAACTACAAGGCAAGTGTTTCTAATAAAGTGGCCAGCAGGTGGAACTACAAGGTAGGTGTTTATGATAAAGTGGGCAGCGAGTAGAACTACAATGTAAGTATTAATGAGAAAGTGGGCAGCGAGTAGATTACAAGGTAAGTGTTTCTAATAAAGTGGATGGATATTTCTACATTACCATACTGCCATACTATTCTGGTAATTTGCATATTTATTAGGTTTCTATCATTGTTAAATCTATATGTACACCTATTTCTTTAGCCATAACTGTGTTATACTGAGTACAATGCACGTTTCATTATAAACATTTTATTTACTTATTTATTTATTATTCCCCCTTCTTTACTTTTCTTCTTTCTCCTTTCTGCTATGAGACACTCCTGCTTTGTTGATATGCCCTGTCCACCTTTTAAAACAATAACAGTGCAGTGTTTAGTCTTTTGCTAGGTCTGATGCAACACATCAACTGATTTACAACCTCTTCCTGAGTCAAAGTGTGTTGTAGATACTGGAAATAATAAATTATGCAGTGTTGTGGGCCTGGAGCCGGAGAGCCGCTTTAAACTAACAGGCCGGCATGGTGAGAGAGAGAGAGAGACACATTCCTCAAGGAGCAAAA